GGGGGGAGAGAAAGAAAGACAGAGGGGAGGGTGCTGCGTGACTGTGAGAAAAGAGTGGATGGAAATAAAGGAGAGACAAAGTGATCAATTAGGATAAACTAGGACAGATGGAAGGAACTTTTCAATTTTAGTAGTGATTAACGATGAAGGCCCCAACAAATCAAGTCGGCTGTGAAATGGGAGGATGGGTCAATCAAGTCTCCATTTCTCAGAGAACATTTCAAGATTACCATTCCTTCCTCTCTCGATACACATGTTTACGCCTGCTATAGAAAATGAATTCGCGACCTAATTAGAGACCGTGCTGGTAAACTCGGTTTTTTTTTGCTATGACAATTTGTTTTGAATGGGAATAGGAGCTATTTTAGAATGAGTTACAGGAGAAAATTGTGCTCATCCTTACTAGGGTCCTAGGTTGATCTGCTTTGTCATGTAAAAGGGGGGGGGGGAATGATAACGCCACGTCTCAGAATAACATTTTGTTCTCAGGGTGACAGGATAGGTAGGTTGGCACCTACCTTCCCATCTATGTATGTTCCTACTATACTTACAAATTTTATAAATTTTTGGGTACTAATGTTACTGACTTGTTTGATACATTGGTAAACACAGGGATGTCCCAGTAAAAACAAACCTCTTATTTTTTGGAGGTGCCATATTCTAATGATGAAAGGAATTAGTTACGCACATAGCTGCCTCTGCCAATATGTGAAATCCGTACTTTATTACTTAGAACAAGTCGTAAACATTGCTTAAGAAAGTTCTTGTGTCTTTCAAGATGTTCTGAATCATCACGAGGTTATAAAATTCCGTTCCTTTTGTTTTCTAAATGTTCTTACACTATTATATAATGACATATTTGGTTGGGAAGAAAGATAGAAGAGTCTTAGAAAGTGAGAATGGATACCAGAGAGGGAGGTAAAGAAAGAGATAGATTCAGAGAAACAGAGACATGGGGACAGAGAGACAGAGAGTGTCAGAGAGTGATAGAAAGAGAACCTTTGTGTATGTGAAAGAGACTGAGCTAAGAGGGGGGTGGGATTGGGAGAGATAGATAGAGAAAGAGAGACAGAGAGAGGGAAAGAAAGAAAGGGAGAGAATGGGACACACACACAGAGAGAGAGAGAGAGAGAGA